TGGTTTGCCGAGGGTGTGCCGACTGGCTTTAGGCGTAGCTGGTTTGCGGTTTAGTGACATTGTAGGCACGGAAGGGGTAAGAGGTACTCACGCTGCGGCGCACCCTTTGAGTTGTTAACAGAGTTTGTCGCCGCGGTTGCGGTCGCCATCGCAGTGAGTCGGAAGTGAAAGGTGACGGAGGAGAAGACGAGAGGAGGGAGAGGGAGAGTCCGCAGGACGTATCGAGGCATCTGAGAGGGCGGCTTGTCGCCCTCGTCTTCAACCACTCGGATCCTGGGCACCATGTTCGAGCTGTGTTGAAGGGGGAGACCGTTAGGAGGGAGCGTGAGTGGGGCCTCTTTCAAGTTCACCATGGGCACGACTCAAGTTATACGGCTCACCGACTTACCTAATTGTCGGAACAACCTTGTCGGGATCGCCATTTCGAGCCTGTGCGGGGTCCACAATATGTCCGAGAGCCTACTTACCACAGTGGTTTGTCGCATATTTGGACAAGGTGACGGCCCTTAAAGCTTAATTAGTGAGAGGCGGCCTTGGCTAGCCTTGGCTCTGGAGATTGTGACGACTCGTCGGAGCCCCGACGCCTCGGCCGTCTCCGAGTCGATCGCGTCGTTTGGCCGCGTCCACGGATACTTAACCGCAGCTCACCGGTACTTCACGTACGCACTGGTCTCATAGGTCAAGGTCCCCAGCGTCCTACTCTCGCGCGCAGCTGCGTATTGGCAGTTCGTATTCTTCGTACCCGCGAGTGCTCCTGACACCAGTACCAGTCCGACGCGCCCGGAAACCCAAATCCACAGTCTACCGTAACAGACCCGACAAAAGGAAAGGAGAAAGTCAAAAGAACTCCGTCATAGTTCAGACCGTCCAAGTGGACGATGCAAGCTGCCAGTGTGGCAACGGTTGGGGAAGGAGGGCGAAAGGTGAACGAAAGGCGAACGAAACAGGGGTATAACTCATCTATGAAAGCGATCAAGTTAAAACACGCTCGGAAGATTAGATGGAGATTTAGGGGGGTTCAACGTTTGTGTATCGTATGTATGCGTGTCCGTCCCGGAGCCAAGTCACGTCAACGAGAGCCTCTCGAGCGCATCGAGCGCGGGCAGTGTCTGCACAGAAACCAATTCGTCGAGGGGCGACAGAGCCAGCGCCGAATGCGGGTCCGAGATGGTAGGAGCGAACGGGAAAGGGCGAGGGGACCGGGCATAAAAGGGCATTTCTTCCTCGTCCTCGTCTATGTCGGACGTCTCCTCTCCGTCGTCGTCCACCAGAGCAGGGGGCAGCTGTAGCGGCGCCATGCGCGGCGCGCACGGACCCCACCTCGACCTCGACCTCCAGCTCTCGGGCGCGCTAACACTGGAAACGAAAGCAGCACGGTGGTCAGACACTCGCCCGCCAACCTACATACACCACCGAGCGGCCGCGACCGGGTGGGGCGCAGGATCGCATGTGAGGCATGGTCAAGGCCAGCGCGCGGACGTGAGAGCACAGGCAGGCGGCGTACGCACCAGATGCAGATGGTCCGCGTTCGGCTCGCTCCCCGACCCCATCCCCGTCCCTAAGTTTGTTGTTGCATCATCGCCAAACAGGTCTTCCTCGCCGTGGCCATACAGGTCTTGCGCTCCATCACCAAACAGGTCGTCGTCACCCGCAAGCCCTACGCCGTCCATTCCGTCCTTCCCATCCTCGTCCTCATCCTCGCCCCCAAACAGGTCCTGCGACCACGTCGGCGACGCGCTGCCCGCGCTCGCGGCGTTCGACGAGCCCGAGTCCGCCGAGAGCTCGGGCGTGCGCGGGACGGAGCCACCGGTCGATGAACCTGAGGACGGCTCCGTAGCTAGCCCATGCGCAGACGTCAGCGGCGGAAACGCGTACGCCATCCCCGCGCTCGAGCTGGCGGACGAGCTGGCGGGACTCAGAGTGTCGCTGCCGCCGAACAGAGAGGACAGCCCAGCCTGGGACGGGGCAAAGGAGAAGTCGAAGAGGCCGCCGAACGACGACTGGGCGATGACCGGCATCGAGAACTCGTCCAACACCGCGGGGACCGCGTGCGCGGCCGAGGATGTGGGCTCATGCGCGGGGAGCTCGCGCTCGCCAGGAGCTATGGGCTCGCTGGCGAATGCCTGCTCGAGCTCGGACTGAAGCCTGTCCGACTCTTCGCGGCGTTTCTCTGCGTCGCGCCTCACGCGTTCGATGCCCTTGCCATTCGCGTTGATCCCTGCGTATCCGCGCACGCACGGAATAGGCTGTCAGCCCAGCGTGCTCGGCGGACAGAGCGCATACACCCACCTTTCTTCCAGTCGAGCCCGCTCGCGCCCCAGTGCCACTTGAGGTGTATCGCCAGGCTGTTGGCCAAGGCGAAGGTGCGCGGGCAGAACGGACACTGATGCATCTGCACCTCCTGTGCGTGTCCGTAGATATGCCCCGCGCATGCGAGGGGATCATGGGCGAGTTCGTCGTGTAGTCGCTTGATACCCTTGGGGCCCTTGGCCTTGGCCTTACCCTTGCCTTTTCCTTTCTTGAGTGTGTCAAAGAAGGTGCACCACGGCGTCGAACTTGTCGAAGTGGGCTGTGACGGATACGCGTAGGCCACGGATGGCTGGACAGGGACAAGGGATGGGGCAGGTGGCGCGTGGAAGTAAGGAGCAGGTACGCTGATGGCATGCGGATAGCTGCCTGGAGTACTGTGCGTGAACATGGCTTCGTCGGACGCGAAAGGCGGTGGGGCGTGCAACATAGGTGGATATGGTGCATGGTGCAGGCTTTGAGGGTCGATGGCTGACGAAGCTTGGGCTGATGGAGGAGGGGGGAGATACACGTAGGGAGGAAGATGCCCTGTGTTGTTCACGAACGTGGCTGAGTGAGCGACCATAGGAACAGATAGACCAAGGCTATCGTCTGGTGCCAACGGATACGGATGGACGGGAGGCATAGGCAAGAAAGGAGGAGGTACGGTAGGAATATGCGCCATCCAGGGAGCAGGAGGAGGAAGCTCGGAATCGTTACTCAGCGAGCCTTCTCCAGCTAAGTTCGCGGTAGGCGGCATCACAGAGGACCCATCGTCCGAGGGCTGGCATCTCCGGCTCAGCGACGGCTGGAGCGGGAGGAGCGAGCCCTGTGCGGATGTATGCATAGTACCCGTACACGGATCCGGGTGCTGAGCGACCTCGTGGACGGTGGCGACTGGCGAGCTGTTCTCGTCCCCTCGCGGAGAGATTCGTCGGAGAACAGGTCCAAAGTGGGCAGATGGGTACGCGGGCACAGGTTGCATGCAGGGTGGATCTGGAGATGAGTCGGAGGGGGCGCATACAGCGACCTCGGGGTGCACAGGGTGATGTGTGGGATCGCCTATGGACGTAGGTGGGCGTTCGACGAACGTCAGGCGCCATAGATGGTCGAACATGGGTTCCGGTCCCGTAGAAGCAAACATCGGGACGTCTTTGGTGGACGGGTCGGGGACGGTCTTGCCTGAGGCGTTGCATGCTTGGAAGGGCGAATTGGTGACTCTGAAGGAGGAGAGCATCGACCGCGGGACGTCAGTCGGCCAACCGGTCGCTGCTTCACCCTGTTCAGGGACAGAGGGCGGGATGGACGCAGCAGACGAGTTTGTCCGTGCGACCTTCCTAGGTCTGGCACCCTTGCCCTTGTCGCTGTCGGCCCCCTTGCGCTTGAGGTTTGGCTTTGACCTCGTTCGAGAGCTGGGCCCTGCGCGCATATAAGCAGTACTCTTTCATCGAGTTGGGGGACGACGACGTACCTTGGCCGTCTGCGCTCCCCATGCTCATCATCCACTTGAGCTCCAGCTTCGGCGATCGCGTGCGTCTCTACCTGGACAGAAATTCAGCTCACCGTCACCAACGTCGACGAAGAGCAGGGGAGTACGAGCCAGGCGGCGCGAGGCGAGATGGTCGTCGAGGAAGAAAGAGATGAGAGAGAGACATGGGGAGCAAGTGGTTGAGATGCCGGACGAGTGAAGAGCAGCGATCCTCTTTCCGCTCGTCACTCGCACAAAGTCTGTCAGTGTCATGGCCGCGCCGCTCGCTCCGCCCACCCGTGTCCAACCAGGACTAACCTCGGACCCGAGCGAGCAGGCTTCCCGCGCCCCACCTGCCATGCTGGGGGCGACGAGTTCTATCGCGTGAATCTCGCCGGCGTTCAAGCTTTCAAGAGTCGCGGCTCTGGCGTCCACGCTCAGCTTGTGGGGGCAGTCGGGACAGGCATGCGCTCAAGGGACAATAAATCTATCGGCATGTCGACACAGGCGTGTAGCAACAGAACGTCGGTACTGGGAGGGAAAGAGTAGAAACGAACCGCGGCCCCAGCTTGAAGCCCATCGGGAGAGGTCTTCATGTCGGAGACTCCAGACAGAAACGCTTGCGTGGAGACAGAACGACCATACTCCGTCGCGGACGTCTTCATGAAGGCCCCTTCCCCGCCGCTCTTGCATCGACACCGGACGACGACCCCGACTGTGTGCTCTGACTTGCGTCTCCTGCTCCCGCCACCCCTTGCTTCTCCTGCTGCTCGATCCTCGAGCGCCCTGTGTCACCGTCAGACGCACAAACGTCATCTCACAACCCACTGGCAAGTAGGCATGTACGCACAATCAAGCTTCTCCGACGGCCTTTGTCCCCTTGCCTCCTGCAACGCCCTCCTCTCGTTGATCGACTGTCTCGCGTAGTAGTAGCTAACGCCAGCAGCCACGATCAGGCTGCCCCAGCCCAGCATCTGGAGGCCACGCACGACGTGAGATTGAGTGTTCGACCTGAACGCTTACTGACTGACCATTGTTTGAGGAGTGTTCATGGCGAGATGGAAGAACGGTGTAGAATGTAGGCGCCCGCGCTCCTTGGGCGTCCGGCATTCGCCCGCCACAATCGATGTGGGTGGGTCTTGCAAGTGTCTCTCATAATAAACAGTCCTATAACGACTGAAGCTTGAAGACCGAAAGGCAACAGAAGGAGGTATTCGATCGCGTAAAAACATTTGCGTTTTCAGAGTAGCAACTCCTAGTTTCGATCTAGGGACTTCAGGGTATCAAACGTATGTATGAGCCCTGCACGCTTCCACTGCGTCAAGTTGCTGCGAAGGTGTTAACCCCAACTGCATTATATAGCCTGCAACGCAGGACCATGGTGACCAGTTTTGGATTGTCTTGCTTTCGTTCACCGTCATTCGTTTGTCCAAGCCATGCGGCCGCGGTGCCTCGAAAAGAACCCGTTCCACGAGCCATCCACGGATGTCACGACAATGACCATCGAAAAATTTATCCGCGTTTCTCAGCCGTGTGCTCTGGGGTCGGTGATTTGTACACTCTCTTGAACGGTGTACTGTGTGGTTAGCCCGGTCAGGTCTAGGCGATCGGTTGAGGGGAGCGCTCCTCGTCACTGGCACGAAAAAGTCGTAAGTACTAAGCAGCATATGCATGTGGAGGTTCTGCACCAACTCCGCGCCCGCTGGCCCTGGACAGATGGAGGCCCGGCATGTCCGGCTCCATCAACCACGCGGGGACGACGGACGCCATCACTGGGACGCGGGAGCCGTCCAACGGTCCGAGCACGGAACGTACGGAACCACATGAACACGCTCCATACGAACTAGTAGTTGGGCGCACATGGATATGGTCTTTGGACTTGGAATAACTGTTGGAGACCGGTGCCAAGTGCCCTATACACATGCGTCGAGGATGGAGCCCAGCCCTCGAGCTACGTGAACTTCCCGCAAGACTTAGAGAGAGAGAGAGTAAGAGAAAAATCCGATTCCGACGAGACTGGACCGAGCCGCGTGCTAAGTAGTATACTGCAGTACCGACTAAGTACAGGGGATGCGTGATCGTAAGCTTGGAGGAGGAGGTAAGTATTTCCGTCCGAACAGCCATATGGACTCGGAGTGTGTGCTATGCGTTCGAGCCGTTGCGTGATGGTACATGTCCTCGCGCGCCCTAGGCCTAGGACCAGGGCGCGGATGGGAGGCGTGAATGTGAATGTGGGTGCACTCGAGCGGGGTCGTGGGGGTGGGGGTCGTAATATACACTAGCAAAAAGCAATAGGAGTGTGCGAAGGGGAGGGGGGGAGGAGCAACACGTACGAGGAGGGAGCAGGGGTAGGAGAGGAGCGATGAAGACGAGGAACGCCCCACAGTCGCTGTGGCTGAGAGCCGAGAGAGGAGAGCGCAGAGTGAGTCATGCCATGCAGAGCGTGAGAGGGATATCGTTACAGTCGCGTGCAGCACTACCACCACCACCACCATCCTTCCGCCTACCCAACATCCAGCATCCATCCGCCCACACCACCATAACCGATAAGATAAACACACGAACCCGCGAAGGAGCACAGCCGAGAGCCGAGGAAAAGACGAAGAAGAGGGAGGGTCGGAACAGGCGGAGACGAACCCAGCGCAAGGCTTATTAGACCTTGAGCGCCGGATCCGACGTCTTTTCGTCGTAGTCCTCGTGGCGGACCTCGGCGGCGGCCGCTTGCTGGGCCGCGGCGTGCAGCTTCGCGAGGTCGTCGCCGTCGAACAGCGCCGCCGTCTCCTCGAGCGTCCGGTTCTTGGTCTCGACGACGAAGAAGTACAGGAACACGGTCTCGAACGCGAGCCATGCGCAGTACACGATCTGTCACGCAGGCGCTGGTCAGCATGTGCCGCGAGACGGGCGAAGGACGGAGGACGGGGGAGGGAAGCAACGGAGGGAGGTAGGGAGACTCACGTAGTACTTCCAGCCGATGTTCTCGAGCGCGATCGGGTTGACGTACTGGTTGAAGATGAGCGCGAGCGAGATCGTGAAGTTGAACACGTTGAAGCCCTTGGCGCGGAGCGAGTACGGCAAGATCTCGAGCGTGTACGACACGATGAGCGGTGTGAACGCAAGACTAGCCGGGCACGGTCAGCACGCCGCACGCAAACGCTCGAAAAATGAGAGCGAGACTCACTCGTAGAACGCGTAGAACAGGAAGATGAACGCGATGACGGCGTGCGCCGCCGCGTCCGAGCCGTGGAGCGCGTACTGCGCCGAGCAGATCGTCTGCAGCGTGAAGAAGAGCGTCATGCCCGCCGCGGAGGTGAGGAACAGGAAGCGACGGCCCCAGCGGTCGACCTGGAAGGACGCGAAGACCGCCCAGCACAAGTTCCAGATGGCGAGGATACCAGTGATGAGCAACTGGATGTCCGTGTCGGTGATGCCGATCGTGTTGAAGACCTTGTTGAGGTAGTACGAGACGAGACCGTTCCCGGACCACTGCGAGAACCAGGCAATGGCGATGATGATGCCCATCCGCTTGCGGTTGCCCTTGGTCGCGACGAGAGCCTTCCAGCCAACGTTCTTCTGGGCTGTGGTCCGATACATTAACGGGGACAAGCGGGTGGACTCGATGCACACTCACTCTCCGTGTCAATCTTGATGGCCGTCTTGATTTCCTCGAATTCGTAGAGGACGAGCGGGTCGGTCTCGTCGCCGTCAGCGTGGTAGTGGGCGAGGACGCGGAGGGCCTCGGACTCCTTGCCCTTGCTGACGAGCCAACGGGGAGACTCGGGGACGAACCAGATAAGGAAGAACTGGAAGCAGGAGGGGATGGCCTGGAGGAGGGAGGGGATACGCCATGACCAGTCGCTGTTGATGCGCGCAGTACCGAAAGATGCCCAGGAGGCGCTGCGAAATTGACACGGCATGAATACGCTGAAATGTAGGAGACGGCGAGGGACGTACACAATGTTACCGGAGTACCAGAGGGTGTTGTAGAGCGAACTGAGCTGGGGACGGTAGACGGGGTACGAGACCTCGGTGACCAACATGGGCGCAGCGTTGGCTAGATTACCACGCGTCAGATGAGCGAAGGGAAGCGGCGAGGAACGTATGGTCCTTACACGCAATCGAGAGACCGAAACCGATCAGGAAACTTGTATGGAAGCGAGGGATTAGTCTTGGAAGGCGCGCATGTAGTGGGGATGCACACTCACCGAGCACCAATGAACTGGTCAATGTTGGTGCAGGCAGTCTGGAGGGCGGAACCTGCGATCATGCAGACTGCACCGATCCAGATGGTAGGCCGACGACCGATGCCATCCGAGAGGTAGGGCGCGAAGGGGTAACCTGCGAGGGAACCAATGTTCTTCGAGCGGGAATAAGATCGGGCATGTGAATGGAAATAATGGAGAGGAGCTCACCTGGATGGCGTTCAAGAGACCGAGAGTAGAACCTTCAGGTGTGCCGAAGAAGGACTGCCATCTCTTCATGGACTGCAGACTGTTCATCAAACTCCCGTCGAAACCGTTGGTGGAGGAGGTGATGAGGCTGGGTAGATGCGATGGTGAGTACTCGGAGAAACATCGAGAGTAGGGGAAGAGGAGAGGAATACATACAGAAGGACAAGCCATGCGTGGAGGATGATGAGTCTGCGGGGGCATTAGGGTGAATTCCGGGGATGGGAGCGGGAGGAGAGGACGAGGATAGGCACCTCCTGTTGTTGTACCACTTCCTGTTGGGATCGACGAGGTGCATGAAGCCCTCATGGGAGGAGGAGGTGGCGGCGGGACCGACTGCCATTGTGAGCGGGGACGGAGGCTCGGGAGTCGGGGCTGGAGACGAGCTGGGAGAAGCTAAGGAGCGACGAGGGTGGGAGAGGATGCTTTATAGGGCGGGATCAGGAAAGAGAGGCAGGTGACCGAGAGAGCGTGCTGGGCAGGAGTGGCCACTGGCTGGCAGCGACGACGTCGGCTAGTCCGACGGCTATTTCTCCACGATTTCTCCAGTTTCCCCGTGTGCGCTGATTGCCTGTGCCCGATCCGCATCGCTCATTGGCCCCTCGCCTCCCGCCCCGCCAGATCCAGCCAGGCACGGGCCACACTCTCGGCCTTTGCTTCCCCCGCCCCCGCACCCGTCGCCCTCCTCCGACTTCTTGCCTTTCAGTCCCCAAGGCACCCCTGATAGAGCTATAAGCATGAGTCGACGCCGGCCAACGTCGCTGGTTTAGCCTTTCAGAGTGCAGCATCCGGGTCCAGGAACGGAGAGAACGAAGGAGCGCAGCGATGCATGCAAACGTTGTAGCGAAGGCGCATCGCGCGCCCGGGCCCTTCCCAGCTTCCCATCTAGGAAAGCTCGTGATTCACCCAGACCGCCACCATGCGTCTTTTCAAGGGCCCAGCCGACGTGCGCATCTCCTTGGACAAGGACGTTGAGCACGTCGGGCGCGGAAGAAAAATAACGCAAGCACAGCACCACACATATTTCGCAGAGGTTCCGGCGGGCGAGGAGACAGACAGGGGCAAAGCGCGTCGCATGAGCGCCTGTGCGCTGATCCAATCAGGCCGCCGCGTCCGAAAGAGGACATCACTCTGAATCCCCGACACCATGCGCACAATTTTACCTCCCCGCCCCCGCGCTCCCCTCCCCCGTGGGGCGGTCTGGGGACCGTCTAAGGACTTATCAGCAACATTCATCCGCCCGCCGTGTGACTTCAGCTTGCAGCAACGCCACCATGCATGTAGCTTACTCAACGCAAGCGCGCGTCGGCGTAGCGTTGAATATGCGATCGTGCGATCGGGTGCAGTCCAGTCCAACTTCTGAGAAGCCCTGCAATCTGAGAGCGAGATCGGCCCAAGCCTGTGGGCCGCCGGCTCTCGTGGTCACCTGCCCGCGCCCGCCCACGCCCATAATTGACCCGTGCTCGTCTGACCTTGGTTGGAACAGATTGGAACGCCCATTTACCTGCGTGCAGCGACCGTTGAAGTTTGAACATGCCCAAGACCTTCGGGACCTCGGGACCGACTGAGCGACACAGGGTACCTCGCGACAGCACAGGAAAAGTAAGTAGCTTCGAATGCCATCAAGTTCGAATCCGGTTCTCGTGGCCGCCTTCGCAGCAACCTGCAATAACCATCCTACGTCATCGTATAGTAGCCTCCTCCCGTGGCAGACCCACCAGAACCCCCCCGCACGCGATTCTCAGTGACATAAGTATTCCATCCACTGCCAGTCCAACTGCAACTCGAGGCTTCCCGCCCACCATGCGATAAGGGCGTCCAGCCCGGCGTGGAGGCGATCAGCGCAGTAACATTGGAGAAACTCTCCCTCTTGGCGTCCGACGCC